GTCCCATCTTGGAGCCAGCTTACTATGAACTGAAACCTCTACAAACTGTGAGCCAAAATAAACATCTCTCCCTGTAATTTGCAGATGTCAGGTACTGTGTCTCAGCTACAAGACAGTACCAAGACAGAGATCCTGTTTTTTCTGGAGTGCTAGTCATAATGCTCCCTCTGTTCATTTTTTATTTTTATATATTTATTTTTTATTTAAAAGAGAATAAATAAACAGTAACAAAGTAATAATAACAGATGCAAAAAACAACACAAAAACAGTAAAAATGATACCAGGTTTCAAAACAAAATGATAGGAATTAACAGTGATTGTTATATTACATATTGTTGTCTTTAACAAAGTTGCTGAGATTATCAAGTGTAAGAATGCAAGATTAACCATTAAAGAGAACAAAAAATAATAAAGAAATTAGAAATGATACAGAGCTTCACTAAACAAGATAGTAGGAATTCACCAATGGTTTTATACTGTTTTCTTCAAAGTAGTTGTTCAAATTACCAGATATAAGTATGCAAAATTGGTCAAAAAGCTTAAACATTAACTATTCCTTTCAATAAACCATGAACATGAGCTGTACAGTTATCCCAGTTATTTGCTTATTAAATTGATAAGTCTTTTGGTGGAGTTTTTGGGGTCTTCTACGTAGAGTGTCATGTCATCTATGAATAATGATAATTTCACTTTCTCTTTTCCTATCACTATTCCTTTTATTTCTCTTTCTTGTCGAATTTCTCTGGCTAATATTTCCAAAACTATATTGAATAGGAGTGGTGACAGTGGATATCCTTATTCCTGATTTTAAAGTGAAAACTTTCAGTTTTTGTCCATTTAGTATGATGTTGCCTGTTCATTTTTTATTTTATCTGTTTTTTAATTTTAAAAAGCATAGTAAATGGGAAACAAACAAACAAAGAAATAGAACAGTAGCAGCATACCAGTGTCACAAACATAAACAAATCAAAGCAAGAACGTTCAAAGTGATACAGAGTCTCAAGACAAAATAATACGAATCAACAGTGGTTGTTATATTACATCTCGCTATCCTCAGTTACATTGCTCAGATTACCAGATGTAAGAATGAAAGATTGCTCAAACCATTACAGGGAATAAGAAAATAATTCTTGGATAAAACAATAGGGATAATACAGTTTCACTATCTGAGTTTTTTTCTTAATTATTGTAGTTCATAGTTTGTAATTTTGTTTGTTTTGAAAAAGCCAACTTTTTATCTTTTGTACATTTTAATAGTCTCATGCATTTTTCAGCTGAACTTTATTATTTCTTTTCTAGTAGAAACTTTGGGCTTGGTTTATTCTTTTTTCTAGTTCCATACAGTATAAACCTAAGTTGTTCATATGATATCTTTCTTCTTTTTTGATACATGTGTTATTGAAATAAACATTCTTCATAGAACTCATTTGCTGTATCCCATAGTTTTTGGTATTCTGTAGCTTAATTTTCAATTGGCTCAAAGTATTTTGCTTTTCTACATTAATTTCTTCATTAATTCATTCATTGTTTAGGAGCATGTTACTGTAATTTCATGAATTGGTGAGTTTTCCAAAATTCCTCCCATTGATTATTTCTAATTTCATTATATTTTAGTTTCAAAAGATACTTGCTATAATTTCAGGTTTCTTAGATTAACTTAGTCTTATTTTGTGCCCCATTGTGTGATCTACTCTAGAGAGAGTAAATAAGGCCCAAAAAGTACAATAGATATTTTGAAAGGGAAAGAAACTACCCAAAAGGGAAGAACAACTGGGATGGGGGAAAAGTGAAAGGAAGGATAGGGAAATACACACACACACACACACACACACACACACACACACACACACTATAGCTAAGATAATTGTACTTCTAATTTCTATTAGTTTGTTGAAAGGAACCGTTAATACTTATATTGCTTGATCAATTTTGTATGCCTATATCTGATAATCTGAGCAACTACTTTAAAGATAACAATACGCAATGTAATAACCATTGTTAATGTCCCATCATTTTGTTTTGAAATTCTGTACTTTTTTTGCTTTTTTCTCTTTCTTTTTTTCCCAGTACTGGGAATCGAACTCACAACCTTGTGCTTGCCAGGCAGGTGCTGTGCCGCTGAGCTAAATCCCCAGCCCCATTGCTTTTTTCTCTTGAAAATAAAAAATGATTTGTATTATTTTAGTTTTGGATTGAATACTGTGTATATTTATGTTAGGTTCATTTGGCCTCAAGTTCCATTCAAATCTAATGTTTTCTTTTGGGTATTCTATCTGGATGATCTATCTGTTATTAAAAGTGAGGCATTAAAGCCTCCTGCTATTACTATATTATAATCTATCACTTACTCAGCTCTTTTAATATTTGCTTTATATATTTAGGTGCTCTGATGTTGCATGCAAATACATTTAAAATTGTTATAGCCTCTTCAAGAATTGATCTCTTTGTCAGAGTATAATGTCTTTATTTTTCTCTTTTTATAGTTTTTCTAATTGCACTCTATTGTCTGTTATAACTAGCTACCTAAATTTTCTTTTGGTTTGCACTTTGGTATGATAAAGTTTCCAGTGCTTTGCTTTGAGTCTACATGTGTCTTAACAGGTGATGTGAATTTCTCATATACTGAAGGGGCAACATAAATACTTACATTTTTAACAATTCAGTTACTTTGTATCATTTTATCGGAGAATTTAATCAATGTATATTGAAGGTAATGACTGAGAGACAAAGACGTAAATGCCACTTCATTAGGAGTTTTCTGCCTGTTTTGTAAATACATTTTTTTTCTTTCACTCTTTCTGAGCTTCTTGTGATTTGATGGTTTTGTTTAGTGGCATGATTTGAATCCTGTCTAATTATTTCTGTGTGTGTGTGTGTGTGTGTGTGTGTGTGTGTGTGTGTTGTCCATGTGATTTTACTAAAGAGTTTTACTTCATTACTATAGGTTTATATGTAAAATTTGACACAGCAGTCTCTTTTAAGATGATAACAACTTAACTTTTCATATAACCACTCTACACTACTGAACCCCCTTCAATTTTCATTTTTGATATCAGAATTTATATCATTTTGTGATTACAATTTATTTTAGCTGTGGTTGTTGATTTGTTTTAGCTACTTTTATTTGTAAAGTTTTTTTCTTTTCACCCTTGTACTAGGGATAAAATTAATGTACATATTGTCATCTAGTCTTACAATATTCAGAATATGGTTCTGATTCATTTAAAATTGAATTTTGTCTTTTCATATATTCCACATTACTAGTTGGTATCTTTTTGCTATAGTTGAGAAAATTCTGCCTAGCGATTTCTGTAAGGCAAGTCTAGAGGGTGTGAATTCATAAGCTTCTAGTGGTTTGGGCATGTTGTCATTTTCCCCTCATCTCTGAAAGACACCTATCCCACATAAAGAATTTCATGTTTGGCAGATATTTTTCCTTTAGTGCTCTAAGTATATTATCCCACTCTTTTCTGGACTCAGACTTCCTAATGTGAAGTCTGCTGATTGTCATACAAGCGCACTTTTGTGTGTAATGTCTGTCTTATTTCTTCATAGTCTCACATTTTTTGTTTGTCTTTGATTTTTGAAAATTTCAGTACGTGTCTTTGATGCTCTTTTCTTTTACTGAGATTTGCTGGAGCCCTCTATGCTTTCTGTATATTTGGCATCTATCCCAGTTTGGGGAAATTTTCACCCACAATTTCTTCAAATATATCTTTTCGCCCTTTCCCCTTTTCTTCTTCTCCATCTCCTATGACTCAAATATCTGGTCTCTTAATGCTGTTCTGTTGTTTCTGTTTCTCTTGTGGATCATAATTGCTACTTCCAAAACATGGCCTACTTTATTTTGAAAATGTGTGGTTATAAGAAATGAATAAAGGTACATGGTTTTAGGCAGAAAGTTGTTTTAAAAAGTATCTTTAGCAGTGTTTTGTGTAAAATACATTCTCTCACTGACAGTTCTTTCCTTTATAATTGGATTCTGAGTTCCTTTCTAAAATGACTGAGTTATAGACTACAGTTGCAATATATTGTTTTTGCTTTTAATTTTTACTTCATTTTAAAATTTTTATACTGTATTCATGGGAAGGAGGAATTTCTCCACCAGCCTGATTGGGGCTTGACCTTTCTTCTCTTAGTTTTACTTTGTGGGCTATATAGTTGATGCTATCTGCTGAGCTACACAGACATGAGATCCATGCGTTAGCCCTAAAAAAGCAGCAGTTTGTGGCTGTGATGATCCAGTCAGCAGAAAATGTAGACTCTTGGGGCTTAGAGATATTTACTTTGGTAGTAAGAAAGCACGGTAAAATCCAGGGTGAGAGAGCTCTGTGTTCACTCTGAGTTTTGTGGTTTCCTGAAACAGAAGATACAGATTATTTCCTATTTGCATATATTTGTATTTAAGGATCCTCATCTTCAGAAAAGCAGCCTGAAGTGTTTTACTTTTCTCAGAAAAGTATTGAATGAGAAAATGGATGGGAAAAGCATTGGAAATGCTCAAGAGTAAAATGAAGAAGACACCTACCGGGTTGTAGACATTCTTCCCATGAATAGGCCATAATGAGTTACCAGTAAAATACATCCAGTGTGTTTATTGGATATATTGTACTCATTTATCTTTCAGTCAATAAGTGCATATCTGATTAAAATCCAATAGAAAAAATTAGAAAAGAGGAGAAAATAGATACAATGGTTTGTAAATAAGGAAGGGTTGAGGGGGTGGAAGGGTAGGGAGGGGAATGGGAAAAAAAGAAGCAAGATATACTATGTACAGGTACAACTTCCTTATAGTGAATGCGGTCATTATGTATATCTAAACTGTACCAATAGGCTTAGTATAAAAAATCCAAGTTTTACCTCAAGTTTGACTTAGCCTTAAGCACATCAAGAAATTCTGCCCATTCTTTAATGATAAGCAGGGGTTTTCTGCACAGAGACCTTGAACCATCTAAGTGTGCATCTGGTAATGTAAATTGTGCATAACCATGTCTTCTTAGATGCCGGAGCCCCCACCTACATGTATGAGTTCCAGTATCACCCAAGCTTCTCATCAGATTTGAGACCCAAGACGGTGATAGGAGACCACGGGGATGAGATCTTCTCAATGCTTGGGGCTCCATTTTTGAAAGGTAATGGCTTTTCGCTGGTTGAGAACTTAGAGTTAGGAGGCCTAGGTTTTAGTTTTTATTTGATGGCCTTGAACAGATTTCTCTTCTTTTGCTCTTAAATACCTAATTCTCTGTCACAGGGCTGAACTACATAGGGCAGAACACAGCATTTCTCCTGTTCACATGAAGGAGGATGTGTATTCATGTGTCCTGTCATAGTCATCCTCACAGTGCTGACCTGTGATGATAGTAAGAGAAGAAGTGGGTAATCTGCAGGGCCCTGTTTGAGGACAACAATGCCACTGCTCTGTTTCTCTCTCACTAGAGCCTATCATGAGGGTGGGGAGAAGTTTACAATTGGTGCTAACCTTGAATCAAATGTCTTATTATTTATTGTTCTATGTATATAAAACTCATATTTTCACCTAAAATATATTTAATAAAATAGTATTTAATGAAATCTTTCCTCAAATGTATTTGGTCCTTCAATACCTTTTGGCTTTTGACCCATCTCATATCTGTTCATGACACATATGTAGCTCTGGGTATATCCCACTTAAGTGACTCCTTAAGACCTTTGGAAATATGATATTTAAGTCTGCACGAAAATGTGAACATGTGTAAGAGAATAAAAAGGGACACAATATCCAGCAGTTCTGTGAAGCAGAGGAAACCTGCTATGTGACATTATAATCCTGGGGGGAAAGGTGGACACAGAAGACACAGACGGTCAGCATATGAATGGAATTCATGCCTGTGGCTGGAATATAGGAAAGGCCAAGTGTCTATATTTCCAACAAATTCCAAGTGCCATTATTGTTGGTGACCTTCACTTCATGCATTAAAGGCTTTTTAAATTTCCTTGTACAGGGGGTGCCTCAGAAGAGGAGATCAGCCTTAGCAAGACGATGATGAGATTCTGGGCCAACTTTGCTCGGACTGGGTGAGGCTTGTGGAAAGGGTGGAACAGGGTTGGTGGTAGCATAAGGTTGGGAATACCTGCTGGCATAAAGGATCTGTTATACCTGAAGTAATCAAACATAGCCCCTGAGAGTATAGCACTGTGACTGTAAGAGCTCAATGTCAAAATAAAAGCTCTCCCAGGAGATGTGACTCTTCCTGTCTCTGGAGCCGCATGAGTCTCTTTGTAGAGATAAGCTGAGGGAAGTTAGGAGGTTTCAGAAAAGTGTGGGTCCTATGGAGTTCTTTGGAAAATTTTTCTTTGTTTCTGTTCCCAGGAACCCCAATGGGGAGGGTCTGCCCCACTGGCCAGAGTATGACCAGAAGGAAGGATACCTGCAGATTGGCGCCACCACTCAGCCTGCCCAGAGACTGAAAGATAAAGAAGTAGCTTTCTGGACTGAGGCTCTAGCCAAGGAAGCAGAGGAGAAGCCACACCAGAAAACACACATGGAGCTCTGAATGGAAGGCCTAACTAGTCTTAGGAAGCTACAGAAGTCAACACAGATGTATTTAAAGAAGGTGTTTGTTGATTAAAGCTACATCTTATTGTAAATCCTGAAGAATTGTTTGTTGGGGGTTGGTACAGTCCAGGGATGGGGGATGTTTGTACTGTGGCCTGAATTTGGAGATAAATGTTATTTTTCTCACAAGCATAAGTGTCTGTTTCTTGAGATGGGGATGAATCAATCATCCTCAGATAAAGAAAGGCGATGAGGGGCGTCATAAGAAGTAGATGCCTTTGCAGTACTGGCTTAGTGAATGACTTCTGAAATCTTAAGGAGGATGAGCCATGGGAGGAGAGGAGAGATGTGAACACTGATCACCTTCCTCCTACAGGTGCTTGATGCAACCATTCTTGTGCAAATTCCTCTAAAAAGTTTGTGAAAGTGACAAATGCCAAGTGTAGACTAGTATGAAAACATAAAATCCTTGAGCATCACAGAATCATATGGAAATTTACACCCATCACAGATACTTCTCCATGGACATCTGTCAGGTGAACATGAGAAAGATTGGGACAGGTGTTAAGATTGGAGAAAGTCTGTCTATAGTGTGCAGGCCTGGAATTCTGCTCAGACCATTTTCTACTAAGGAACAAAATTCTAAAATCATTGCAGAAAGAGCACCAAAATCGGTTTCCTTTGGATCCCTGGTGGATAATTATTGAGGGAGAAGAAAAGGTAAAATTTAAAAGTCTGTCCCTTATGGTTTGGTATAGATTTCTGGATCAAGATCCTTACAGATCTTTAACTGTTTGGGAAGGGCAAGTTCATGGAGAAAGCCACCTCACAGACTGTGGGACAGGAGTCCCACAGTCAAATTTTCCTTTTTTCCTTGAGACTAGATGAACACCACAGAAAACACTTCTCAGTATAAGCATAGACTCATACCTGGCAATAAAAATCTGCTTGTTCAATGTTACAGCCTTAGAGAAACCATTTATGAAAAATACTGTAAAATATGGAAGACAATAGTTTAAAGTAGATTGTTGCAATGTTTTAAAATTTCATTTATTTGACATCACATTGTTTGAATGTATAATGTGATCATTTGAAGATATATATTGTATATCAAGGATACTCACTAACGTGTTTTTAAAAGAGGTCTGCATAGTAACCAAATAGGGAAGATAAAATGGAATCATTGAAAACTTCAATGTCAAAATAAGCAAATAGGAAAGACACAAAGAACACATAAAGAAACAGGTGCTGCTATAAAATAAAAATGATTAAACCTATCAATGAAAACAGACCGTAGATTGCATTTAAAAGGCAAGCCCCAACAATATGCTATGTCACAGAGAGATATTTGTATTTTTTTATAACTTTCTTTTGAAAACTTTTAACTTCAGTACTCTTCTGACCTCTCCTGACCCTTGTCTGGAGAAGCTGACAAGAAAGCCTGAGTACTTCTTTCTTTGGCACCAGGAGAAGATGCCAACCTCACAAATCCAACTACATTAATACCCCAGCCAGGCTTTCTTTGCCCTCTTAAGCCACATGGATCCTTCCTGAGAGCCCTGCACCCCCACACCAAGGACTGTAAGAATTGTGGAATGAAATTTTTCTTTTTTTTTGCTGGGGAAGTAGTATTGTCAGTCTTGACTTGAAAAGCAGTCTTTGGGTGAAAAGACATGTATATGCTAAAAGATATACCACACAGATACTAAAAAAAGAACACGGCAAAGCCAAGTTAATATTAGATAAATGAATGTTGAAAAATTGTTTGGAGGGATTGTTTAAAATCCCTGTGGTCGTTCATGTCACTATTACAACTGAAGAAAACTTTTCTTGGATGTTGAATGGAATTGGCACATCTATTTTTCTTTTCAGTTTTCAAGCTTTCGATGAACACCTTTGATGCGGAATCACTGAGTCTGACCAGTGTGATCTGTGTATTTTCCAAGTTGCTGGAATGGATGAAAAACTCCGGCTTAATACCCTTGGTATTTACGCTCATAATTTGATGAGAAATTTTGGAAATTACTACTTTCATTCTTCATTATTATTTATGGCACCCAGATTTGCAGCAGTTAAATGAGTCAATTGCCAGGCACTTTTGAATTATTTTTTCTTATGTTGTGGAAATTTCTCTCTCTCTCTCTCTCTCTCCCTCTCTCTTTCTCTATCCCTATCTCCCACTCTCCCTCTCTCCACTCCCTGTTTTGATTTTGCTTTCTTCCCTTCACTTCTTTACTTTTTCTTT